AAACACACAGTGGGCTTCGGGTCTCACTCTGCCAATCTGGGTGGCTGGGTACCAGACCACTGGGGTTTAGGGAGGGGGGCAGATCCTGTCTGCTTAACAGCTTGTTCCAACTTTTCCATTCTGCTCCGGAGGGCTTCCAGCTCCTCCCCAGCAGCAACATTTACCGTCCCGGGATCGTCCTGTTCGGCATCCTCATCGGAGATCACCTTCCGCAGCTCTTTCTTGGTCTTAGGCCTATGTAGCCGGGAGTGCTGGTAGTACTGCATTCGCTCCACGGCTTCATCCATGGTCCTGGGATGGCCATCGAGCGCGTAAAGGCCAGCGTCTCGGTCCTCGGCTCCATAACACAGCCTAGGTATGGCGTGTGTGTGCAAGTCCGGCACACAAGGGAAGGCTCGCGTCGCCAAAGTCAGCACCCTGTCTGCCCACTGACGAAGTGACTCTCCTGGATTCTGATTGGCAGCCTGGAAGTTGAGTTGATGAGTGAGATCGGGGGCAGAGGAGCCAAAACGCTTCTCAAATCTCTGCAAGATCTCACCTAGGCGGAGCTGGCTACTGGTTTCTAACAGCAAGGAGTAGTATTCGCTTGCTGCCCCCTCAAGGCAGAAACAAAACTGGTCGTGCTGCTCCTCCTCTGTCCATAGCTGGCTGCGAGATAACCTAACGAACTTGTGCAAAAATGCCTTCCAGCTGGTCTTACCATCATACCTATAGTCCTTATACCGGGGCTTACCCCCAGTGGCTGCCCTACCTGGGTATGGTGTGGTGCCCTGGTAACCAGGTGAGCCGTAATGTATTGGTGTACTAAAGTTGCAAGCCTGGTTAGCCGGGTCTGACTGACTAGCATAGTATCCCGGATGGGCTTCCCCATACATGTTAGGTTGAACATGTGCTATCCTCTCCCCCTCCCTTCCAAAATGGCAGGCTGGGGTATTGGGATGGGCAGGACTACAAGTCCTTGACACAGGAACACTATGGTGCTGCAGTGCACTGGGCATAGCCATACCATGGAGTGTGGCTGGAGTACTCTCGCCTCGATACAACACAGACTGGGAGTGGTCGGGTACTGGGGGTTGGGCATGCCTACCCCAAGGATTGATGTACACTGATTGGGGCGCATGAGAAGGTGTGCTTGGGGAACTAGCATACAATGATGTAGGTTGGGGTCTGGCAGCAGTCACACCAGTGTCTAAAGGATTTACTTGTGAATGAACCATTGCTGGGGACACTCCCACATTAACTGGGGCTGGGACAGATGTAGTGCACGGCATTGAGCTCCAGGGTTGCAAATCATCCCCAGGGAGAGAGGGCGCACCAAAATCTGCTAGGCTAGGTTGGCTCTGTATTGGTGCAGGGTCCCAGGTGAGCCCTACAGGATCTACGGGCCTCACATGGTGACGATCATACTCGGAGGTGAGCTGTGCAGGCCTCACAGGTTGCTGACACACACGGTGTATGGGACGGAAGGGCGGGGTCAAGTGGGTGTGGTACAACCTCACCCAAGCGGCTTGGTCTATAACCCATGGTAGCAGGGCCCCCCAGTTTAGCTGTGTCTCCCACAGGGACAGGGTGGCTACTACTAGCTGGTCGCACATGGTCTAAGGAATACAGATGGTTTGATCCCCAATTCAAGGGAACCTCCCTATATTCATATTTAGGTGGGCTACAACCCACAGTGCTACCAGGTGAGCCACACCTACACGGGCTACCTAGAGAGGCCTCCAGGGAATCGCTGGTCATCATCCCTGGTGAGCCAAATTGAGGATGGGCAAACCTTACCTCTTTTCCAGACTTTCCATGCAATACACTACCCTCCCACAGGGGATGCCCGAGTGCAGGCCGGGCATAGGTGTAGAGGGACCCCCCAGGCGCAACCCCCTCCCATGTGGCCTGACATTGACTGAGCAAAAGGTGTGTGACGGGAGGCAAAATGCTCATTCCCGCTATAAGCGTATGGCAAATAACCCCCCTCCCCGGGGTATCCCCCCACCCTACCCGGAGTGTGAGGGGTGGTATTGTCTGACCGCGTGACAGCCGGGTCACTACCCAGACCTAAAGCCGACACGGCTTCCTCCAGGGACATATTCATAATAAAATTGTACAAAATAATTTTCAAATAAATCACAGATAATCTATAAAATCACTAAATCACTTGCAATAAATATATACACAAATTAATTTCAGTTGATTCAAAAAATTATTATATTAGAATCAGAAAAATTTTGCAAATATCACACGTGCTCTCAGCACCAAAAATGGCGGCTTAAAACAATGCCAAGAAAAAAAAATTCCAAACTGATAGCAGTACGGGAATCTAGCACCGAGCCCCGCGAGTTGGGCGCCAGTAAAGTAACTTCCGGGGTACAGTACTTATACAATCTTTATTAACTAACAACTATGTACAAATATATACTCTGTCATGGATTCTGGCCCGGGCTGACTCACCGTCTCTGCAGCACGTCTTGTCCGTCTGACATCTTGGCGGTGAAAGAGGTCCGTGGGACTGTCCCGCCATCTGACCAATCGTAACTACTCGGCCATTTCCGTGAACGATAAATAACCTCGTACGCAGACTGTGAAGGAATCGGCAAATCGCCGCACTATTTACAGTCACATGGTAGAAAAGATGGCGGCCCCCAGCTATCCGATGTGTGTATGCTGTGGAGTAGCAAAAAGTAAATTTTATTGTTTTACCAGCAAGAAGTGTGCTTTGTTTAAAACCGAATCGACCATAAATTCGTTATTGAATTATGAGGTAGATTTAACGCCAATCAAAAGTAAACATATTTGTGATAATTGTCTAAAAGTTGTCTCTAATATCTAACATTATTGAAAATGTGAGAAAGGTTTGTGAAACAAGTAAATGTGATATGCCCGAAACATCCACAACGACCACGCCCATAGATATTGGTAAAAGACCTGCCAAAACACCACCCTCGCAGTTAAGATCGGGCCAGACTAAGAAAAGGAGTCGTGTTATAGATCAGTTGGTGAAGTAAGAAAAAGAATTTACAATATCATTCTTTTACCTTAATCCTGGACATAGTTATTTCATTAGTTATCTCTGATATTTTTAATAAACATATAAAGTATTTACAAGCAATGACACCTATACCTTGTACCTCTTAACTGATGATAAGTGTGTAGGGCTACATATTTAATATACTGAACTGAGTGAGTTATAACATATTTTGAAAAGGTCTGTGGAGAAGTTAAAAGTTTCAGCAAGTGATGCAGAGGAGTCTGACTCGAGTTCTACCAAAGCACGCCGTAAACTTCATTTTGTGTCAACTGATCACTCATATACTCCAAAGGATTTACAGACTGTGTCAGAGAAATTTTGTGACAACATAGCTGACAGTTTGCTGAAAAAAATATCAAATCCAATTTTTGAAAGGTTAGTAATTTATTTAGTAATGCTTATAATTTTCCATGCTTTATTTCATGTATGAATATCTTGACATGTATGCTTTGTATTTGATCCACTTAATGGGTGTTGATAAAGTGTGAAAAAATATAATTTTTAAATTATACACTCTCTAATCATTTTTTTTTTTAAATGAGGCTTTTGTAATTTTAATTACTCAGATAACACTGATTATTTTATGCACCAGCAAGGCAAAGTCAAGATATTTCCACTTTAAAGTATTTATCGTTAAATTTTTCTTGTTATTTTGAAGTTGACTGCTTATGAAGTTAAATGCTTCCTGGTCAGTGGTATATACAGTTAAATAGTTATACAGTCAAGTTGTTATTTTTAGAAATTTCCTTCATCTAAATAAATTTTGTGAGCATCATCTATGCTGTATCTGTATATACCACTGCATTTGTTGAATTTAGTTTAGTTTGCATGTGTTATTTATTTTTCAGCTGTTTGAATTTCAACACATAAAAATCTCTCCAGATTATTCCCAGTGAAGGGTATCACATGTATGGAATGCTGCTATAGCATAGGAGAAAACATGGTCAAATAGAACTATCAAATTGAGATCCATTGTTGAAACAGTTTGTATTGAAAAACATATATGGCATGTTGTTACTTGTAGTATACATATATATCTACATATATACTAGTATATATATTATTGTTATTCAATACACTGGGTATCAAGGCATGTTTTCAGCCATTCAGTTGAGAACATCCAGGTTCAAATCCTGGAAACCCATTACTTTAAAATTTTTATGTCTTTAAAATTAATTTTTAATAAAACATTACTTTCATTATTTTGTAAGTTAATAAATGATTGTTTACATAAAAATAGTACTTTAACAATTTTCTTAAAATACTTAAATGTATTTTATATATTACAATATTCACATTATTTACCAGTAATTTAATTTTTTTTTTAAATTTTGTCATTTTATAAGATTAGAAATTTTGATATTTGTCCTTTTGGTTTATTTTCAGTGATTGTACCACAATAATCAACAAAGAATTAGACAAGTTAATTTAAAGGAGGAAAAGTGTCCTTCTCAAGAAAGGAGCACACATTCTGCAGGGGTGCAACATTTTTGCAGCATGGGTTAATGAAATGCAAGCAAACTGCCCTCTTCTTTTTGAGATTTTAACCATGTCTTTAGGGACAGTTGATTCCTCAGAGAAAAAGATTGCAACACTGGCCACCATTTATGGCATGATCCTTCACAGCAGGGATCCCCTTGCCTCTGGAATACAGAGAATGTATTCAACCTTAGCAATTCGATATCATGCAGATAACAAGGTACTTAATGAAATTGGGTAAAAAATGTTTGACATACCCTATCTTTCAAACAATCACAAAACCAACAAGCAAACAAAGAATATATATATATATATATATATATATATATATATATATATATATATATATATATATATATATATATATATATATATATATAAAATACATCCACTAATTGGGAGAATGCATGCATTCCTGTAAATGTATAATAAATGAGAATTGATAATTTATTATGCTGTATTCTTTGTAGCTCATGCAGAGACTCAATAAAGTCCACATTACTATGTCCGATTCGTCAAAAAGAAATTTGATTAAGGAGCTAGGAGGAGCACTTGGAGAAAACTTAATCAAGGACATTTGCAGTGGAAAAAATGGCAAATTTAATGGCGATAATCTTGACATAAGGGTCAATACCAATGATATACGAATGACCAACAAAGACAAGCATTACCATTTCTTTGCTTCAAATTTTGTAATGGATAGAGTGATACCGGAAATTTGTGCTGTTCCGGAGGCACCTGCTGAGTTTACACCAGATGTAGATATTGACATAACTTTTTTCTTAGTGACACTGAAGTAACAGTTTACAAAGACAGTTTGAAAGTTCTTCTCGGAAGGGTCATGGCAGAAAATATTCCTGCATTTGAGTGGTTTTCAAAGGTAATACCTGGACATATTCCCCATCTCTATCAGGAGGAAATGGCCAAGCCTTCAATAATACATCCCTTGCCCTTGTCCTTGAACAATGAGTGTTCATATGAAGGTTGTCTCAAAATACTACAGGAATATACTGAATGGATTAACAAATGGTACAGAAAAGCAGGCAGAGGTATTATATTATATATTTCCTTGTTTCAAACTATAAATAACCTATTAAAGAGAGTATTCATGATTTAGTCTTTATTTTAAATAATTCTGGAAACAGTGAGTAAAGTACCTGTAACAAATAACTGTATATTCAACTATATTGACATTTAAAAAAAATCACTATACATAAATGTAAATCTAGTATTTAGAATCAATTGATCCACTTTATTTCTCACAGCAAGTGAGTTAGAAGGACTCCAAGTTCCTGTAGGTGGGGACCAGTTAACAAGAGTAAGATTTCAAGGTGCAAAAGCATTGCGTGCTGGTTGCCACACCATACAGGAGCGGATGGAACAACTTAATCCCATCATCATTGAGTTGTTTCACACTTTACAGGACTTTATAGAGGTAAAGTCCAACAACGTTTTCATCCAATTATTATACTCTAAAATTAAGTTGTAAATTTCATTCTAATCTGTTTAAATATATGCATTATTAATTAAAATTTTAAACAACATATTTCTATTCAGACACCTCATTTTATTTTACAGAAAATGTGCAAGAAGTTCTTGAAATTAAACCAAGGGAGAGATGTGGGAACTTTGGCCAACCTTAAAGTAGAAATCCAAAGGACAAATGTAAATGGAAATGTGAAAAGTAGATTTAAGGTAGTGATTTATTCAGATGGAATTTTTAAATTTTTACACATTAGAAAAATTGTTCTGCTCTGTGATAAAATTATTGAATCTCTTCAAAGATAATTGTCAGCATTATAATTTTTTACTACTAAATAGGCACATGAAGATTTTTTCACTTCTGTGGGCCATTCATACTTCCTGACTTACATAATGGAGAAGTTTCATATGGCCAATTTGTCTGACAAACCTGTGCATGATGCTGTTCCTGATAATATTGCCAAACTTCATCTGACAAGAAAAAAGGCCATTTTTGATGATCTGCTGAATGAAATTGTAGCAGACCTGTATATTCCATTTAAAACTCAGGTCAGTATGATATTGTTGGTATGATTTTAAAAAATCTTAACTTTGAAATGCTCTTTATATAGCAAATATTTTTAAATATCGGTAATAGAAATCTTATTTTCTTTTCCAAAGGATCCTATTCAAACTTTTACTCCTGCAATTGCTGCCACAATCTTTTGGTGGTCCGCAGTATAATGACTGGTTAAATCCAAAGTACTTTAATATAAAAAGTCTGAGGCAAGTTTCAGAATTTTTGCAATACTGGATGACTTCTTCACTTAGTCCCTTTCTGTTTTTGGCAATGTCATTATTATTGAAATACAGTATTGCTGTGCACTGGGCTCCATTTCTACCGGCTCTACCGATTTCTTGAAGATATTTTTCAAGTGTCGTAGGAGGCCTGCAGTGGATGATCCTGGTAATGCACCTGGCATCCAAACCCATACCAAGTGCAACTGTTGCAAATACTAAACGAAGAGTAGGGTTTTCTTTTTTTAACTCTGTTATCACATGGCTTTTCATTGCCTCTGTGTAATCTTTGTGGAATTGTGCAAAGATTCGGTTTTCTGGATTCGGTTCACCTACATACTCATGCTCCCTTAATTCTGAGTTCACATACTGATAAAAGTAACCCAACTCTAAATTTTCGACATAAACAATAGTCACAGGGAAATTTTCCCTCTTCTCTTTCAGCTCCTCACACAGAGGTTCAATAATTGTGTCTAACTTTTTAACTTTGTTAATATTAGGAGGGCGCACAATCTTTTCTAGGAAAATATTTGGCCTGTCAGGATTGGCTTTGATAATAACTGGATTTATATACTGCAGCACTTTTCCAAGACTTTCTATTGAGGTTTCAGTCGCTGTTGCTGTTAGTGATAAATGTGCCGCAGATGGAAACAAACAGGTTAAGTCTCCAAGTTTTTTAAACTTTGGTCTGAATTCTTCACCCCTGTAAATATATTTCATTCAAGGAAAAACCAATGCAAAGCCTTATAAAGGATGAACAGTATTTGGTCACCTAACAAATGTGGATGAGTGTCTAGGATTTTAGATGATTCGGATCATTTTAATGAAGGACTGTCCTGGAGTTGTGTGAGATGTTTTGACTTTTTTCGTTTATCTTAGTCATTTACCATATGAGAGACTGATATATACATTTTAATGGAATGTTAAATACTGGATTTTTTGTCTTTCCTTACCATTCCTCTATCATGTGAACCTCATCAATGGTTACACAACAAACATGCTCCTGAAAGACTTTTGACCTCAGAATCCTACCAATCTTTTTAGAAAAAATTGCTTCTGGATGACTGTAAAGGATCTCAACATCACCATCTATGATACGCTGCATATCTTTTGTGACCAGCTTTAAAACAACAACAAATAATTTTTTAATACTTTTATTTGGTAGTGGTAATGGTAGTTGAAGCATTTGATACACCATGACCAGAATTTAAATGCATTCTCACTGAGTATAAAAGTTCATTCACAGTGTTGACTATAGTACAAATCCTTCCACAATATCTGAAGTTCTTCCATCTTCTATCTGTACTTTTAGAATTTTATGATAGTTTAAAAGTATTGTCTAAGTATAGTTAAATCTCTGTAAAAAGAGGGTTTCAATGAAATAGACTTTATCATGAAACAGTTTCAATGAAATAGACTTTATCATGAAACAGTTTCAATGAAATAGACTTTATTGTGAAACAGTTCACCAGCGAGTCAGACCTAAATAACATTATTAAAGTCTCTGTATTCAAATGAAATAAAGCCAAAAATGATACTGCATATACAAGATAAAAAAGGCTGATATGGCATTGCTAATAAAAGGCAAAAAAGATGATTTATGAAAAAGACAGCCTGATTTTGTTGCTCATTTTTTTCATAAAAATGACAGTGTACATGAAAATATTAAGAACTTTGAAATTATTTGACTGATATGGTGGCCATTGCATCTCCTCGCAGACAATCTGAAACAGGTCTAGCTTGAATTACCTACCATGGCTTTAATTACCTAATTGAGGTAGCTTTATTACGCATTTTTGGCTTTTTACTTTAGATATACAATCACTGCATCAAAGTGCTTTTTGTACATCCTGGGGGGAGGGGGATGCTAACTTTCCGCAGTGTGACTCCGTACATATATAAATAAATGAAGATATGTACCAGACCTGTGAAAAAGTTATAGAGTCTTGTAGTCTGATCTGTACAGATTAATGTTATAATTATTATATATACGTTTTTGATACCTTCGAGACAGTTTCTTCCTCATCCGCGGAACGACACCCAGTTCCTTCAAAGTTCAAGCATAGGGCCTTTATTCCCTTAGAAGATAAAAATGACACCTGGTCAACAATAATCGAGGTCAAGGGGGCAATGACAATCACGATTCCAGTTTTTTCTCTATCGCCTTGTAAAAACCACGGAAGTAATTGATACAGGACACTTTTACCGTAACCAGTTGGTAACACACTTATAACATCCCGTCTCTCCCATAAATTTCTTAGAGTTTCCAATTGTTTTTCCTTTAGTGAAAATTCAATTCCAAGTTTATTTCGAGCAAATTCGAGTCTCTCCTCCATGTTTCAGAACTATATGCGGATTTACTTCCGGCAAACAATTCAAGAAGGTTTTCTCCTCTCTGTTTACGAGGTTATTTCTCTCTCGGAAAATGGCCGAGTAGTTACGAATGGCCATCTGATGTAACATCATCAGTAGGTCGTACCACGGGATAGTCGCACAGATAATACTACCAAAGTTCTTTCCGAAATTCCGTATACTTACCGAGATATGCTGAAATCATATTCCAAAATTGACCTTATTTTTTTTTACTCGACATTATCTTGGGCCTCTGAATAGTTACACTAATTGTAAAGCGGGAACGACGGGACGAATCCTTCCCGGAATTTATTCTATACTCTCTGAATATTTGTTTTTTAGCACTCAGTCTCTACAAAATTTTATCTGATTAGATCATATTGGGTACAGCCCACTAATTGTTTTCCCTTAGGCGGCAATGTTAACGTATCTTCTTCACAAAGCAATGTCCCTAATTTTCGTTCAGCAGTGAGTGACCCCTCAAATCAAAGCACATCAAATTGTCTTTCCTTGGTTGAAATCTCGAGGTGGCATGTCAGATTCGTTTTCCGGCAAAATGCGTCTGTCTGCGTTAACCTCTGAAAATGAAAGTTGAGGAATTCAAGACTTCTCACTGGTGTTATAATACATTTAAAATAATTCTGCTGATCTTCTTGATAAATTACATCTGCCAAGCTTTTTTTCAAACGAACATACTCCTTATAAACAATTTAATATAAACAAAGTATGAGGATCAGTTTGATATATTATCACAGTTTTTTTTATTAAGGTCTGCAAATAAAGGAACTTGTAATTTTTTCTGCACTACTTTCTTCTCCTACCAATTCTAATCAAAGTACTCAGAAGTACACAGAGCCGGGCTCATTTACAGAGAAGTGAACCGGCAAACACCGTTTTACATGAAACGTACATTGTAATAACAGATGAAAGACAACAAGACACTGGAAGAATATGTAAAATATATTTACGGCATATAGTATAAATAAAAAATGTTTAAAAAATGAAATAAAATGCAATTTGAATTTAACAACGTAAACAATTTATCACATGTATCGTTTCGGGGTCGTATACTACTCACAGAAGTAAATAAACATTGATGCAGCAAGGTCAAACGTTTATGCACAGACGAGTCCTCAGCGGGGGGTTTTGCATAAAGGTGTACATCGGATCATGTGCTCCCCGCATTAGTGTGAGCCTGGTTACTCAACCTTTATTTATAGAATGTGACGCAGACAGGGAGTCCTGATGAAAACCTTTCGCATATTTTAAACAAATAACTAATTGAAGAAAAGAGGACACCGTAACATAAGCCGGCTATTGCTCTACGACTACGGTTAAAAATAATTGGAGGTATGTACCCAATATGGTCTTAATAAGTTACCAACAACATTTTAGCGGTACAATTTTTAAAAAAAAATCAAAACGTATATTCCGGGAAAATTTAGTTCAGTCATAGTTCTTTTTACATTAATAAACAACATGGCTGTGAAGTTGTTGAAGCAAACGTTTTCTAAATTTTTTTTCGCGAAAGGCATAATTACTGACTTCACCTTCTGATCTGGAGTAAAAAATCAACTTTAAAATGTTGAAAGATTGTGCAAAAAATACTAGGCAGCTGTTCGCTGCAGTTCAGACAACGTTTGTATACATGTGAATTATCAGGACCCAAGCTAATGTCGAGTATAAAAGTAGGTCAATTTTGGAATTGATTTCTACATCTACGTAGTACAGCGTTCCATCAAACCTGATGATTATACGCTGGCCATATCTCGGGAAGTACATGCAATTTCGGAACGAACTTTGGTAGTAATGTAGATTGAGTATATATGAATAGATATGAATAGAAAGTAAAACTCTAGAGCAGACGATTTAAAAGTATTCTATTTGGGAAAGTGGGTACCCTATGTAAGGAGTTCCGTACCTTTATCTTTTTTTATCCACCCCATTTTTTTAAAGTCGGATTTAAGCGATACAAAGGCCTGTGTTCGTATGCAACCACTTTAATGCAACCACATGTTGCATTAAATTTCATTTAATTAAAAGAACTGCACAATTATAATGATTTACATAAATGCAAAGTAGGTAACAAGTAACAAATATACTTAATACACACCTGTATAAAAGAAGGGGATGGGATCTCAACAATAAAATGTGCGCAGTAAAACAGTCTACAATGCGCTCCGAGCTGCAGCGAGACAACTAAAAACGTCAGCCTCCATTTGAACCCTTGGCTACGTCCGAAAAATACCAATAAAGTGCCCCGCCACAGCATGATACGCCCGTCAAATATTGTTCAATTGTCATAAACAGTATAGAGTGCAAGAAAATCATGTCAACCTTGATACAAGGATTTCAATGATTTTTCCATTCCTTATAATATTCATTTACACATCTCCTGTGGTGTAGGCATTAATTATAACAAGTATAACTTAAAGATCCTCAACTGGTTGTGTTAGAGCTTGACAAATGCCCATCTGCAGACACCCCCCCGCCCCCCCCCCCCCCAGCTTTCAGATTTGCGAGACATGATGCTCTTAATTAGTTGATATTTTCAAAAAAATAAATAAAAATATCATTTTAAACAATATCAATCTAGTCTTAACAACTTAATCTATATCAAATTAATATTAAAAATAAAAGACTGGCCATCAAATGACATATGTTATAAACTGACAAGCAGTTCTTCTGTCTAATTCCCAAAGGATGCAGATAAGAGCTGCTTGATCAGAGATCCTCTAACAGAAATGATTGAGACAGCTAGTATCCCTACACTGAACTCAAAAATTAATCTTTAACTGGATGCATGTCCACTCATTACTCCCAACGGATGAATGGATCTATACATACTATCTGCTTTAATGCAGTGCAATAAAAATGCATATTTATGTAATTCTGAAATTAAATTTGAAAACCAAGATTTTTTTTTGTTACAAAGATTTACAAACAGAAAAAAAACTTGTGTAATCTTGATGCAACATTTTTAATAAGGTTCCTGTATTACTCTTAGATTTGTAGGGACTATCTACCATAATTAAAACATTTTTTAAATACTTTATTTTTTTTTTTTTAATTTAATGTCAGACTGGTTTTAAGCTGCAATTCATATGGACAACGGGCATGTTGATTCCAATCCCCCCCCCCTCCCCCAGTATAATTAATTTTAATTCTATTAGGCCAAATAAAAAAAATATGTGTGGTTCCGGTTACCCGACCTTCCCTATTTTATACCCCCGACCCTAAACTTTTTTTTGGCAATTTTCATATTTTTTCCGGAATTTCCCCCGATTTCCATCAATGGCTCCAGTTTAAGTTTTAGTTTCAGCAATGACGGCCTCCTTGCAAAACATAGTGCAAATGTTTAATAGTGTTAAATCCAAAGCAAGCTAGCATGTAGGTGTCCCCTACCAATATTGACTAGTATATTATCACACCACATCTAAATGCCATTTGCAAAGCAGTGATAGGTATTTAGAAAAAATTAAGAAAATCATTTTGTTGAAAAAAAAAAAAAATCCCTACCTACCTACCCTAATTTTTTTGGAAGTGTAACCGGAACCACACATATTTTTTTGTTTGGCCTTATACAATTATATCAAATTAGTTTATTATACAATATCAAATTAATTTATTATACAATATCAATTAAGTTTTAATTACTTTTCACCAAATTCATTTTAAAAGTTAGGCTAGCCAACTATTTATTCCAACACCGCTGATTCTTTTCGCCCAGTTCCCAAGAGATATAGATAACACGTGCTTCATCAGAGATGCTCTACCAGTTAGTTCCTCACACTAAACTCATTAATTTCTCTCTAATTTGACATGCAATTTTCTGTTATCAAATTCTCCTTGACCAGTGCTTGATAATTACATCCATGGGAGAGGTGGAATTTCTCTTGTATCATTACATTTGTTATAGATTGCTGTAAAGTATATAATGAAAAAAATAAGTATTTTCTTGATTTAACATTTTCTTTAATAAGGATACTGCAACACTCTTGCATTTTTTGGGATTGTGTAATCTAATAGTAAAAAGACAGTTTTTTTTAATTTCACTAAAATTAAAGGTTACAGTGACCTTTAAATAGGTCGCGACACACCTACCTAAGATGCATAAATGGGCCAAGTTTGATGATTCTAAGTCCAATAGTTTTCTAGTTATGAGCCGGACAGGATTTTTCCATATTTGGCCATAGCATCTTAATTAAAGGTCAGAGCGACCTACTTTTAATGCGCGACACACCTTCTACCCATAAGTATCAGCTGACAAAGTTTGAAAATCCTTGGCCTAATAGTATTAAAGTTATGAGCCGGACATGAAAAAGCTAACAGACGGACGGACATGAACGCCATAACATAATATGTCCCGTCTAAAGACGGGCGTATAAAAATTGCGTTGACAAAATTTAAAAGAAATCAATTTGCACTTGCCCACAAATGGGCTAATTAGTATGGAACACCAAATTAACATATATTCAATTATTTGAACCTATCTTCAAATATTGTACCTATCTTCAAATAATTGAACCTATCTCCAAATGAATTGAGGATAGGTGTTAAATTAAAGATAGGTACAATAGAATTGAAGATAGGTGTAAATAATTATACCTATCTCTAAATAATTATACCTAGGTACAAATAAATTATACCTATCTTTAGTGGAATTACACCTATGTTCAATTCAATTAAAGATAGGTTCAATTGAATTATACCTATCTCTAATTCATTTGATACCTATCTCTAATTCATTTGAAGATAGGTATTATTAGTCCCCTACCGGTGAAACCGGAGGGGACTATAGGTTTCCTCTGAGTCTGTCCGTCCGTCTGTCTGTCTGTCCGTCGGTCCGTCTGTCCCACTTGGTTTTCCGCACTTTTTTCATAAACGCTTGCAGATATTGAGCTGATTTTTGGTGTGTGAGTGTATCTTGATGAGTTACAAGTCAAGTTTGCATTTCGTTCCGCTTCACTGATTTTTGACGGAATTACGGCCTTTTCAATTTTTAAGGGTTTTCCGCACTTTTCTTCTAAATGCTTTCAGATATTGAGCTGATTTTTGGTATATGACTTTACCTTGATTAGTTATAGATCAAGTTTGCATTTTGTCCCGCTTCATTGATTTTTGACGGAATTATGGCATTCTCAATGCTTAACGGGAACCAGATTACACTTGCCGGTAGGGGACTAGTATTGCTAATGCAATACTCTCAGAATGCTTGTTGATTTAAACATAGGTACAATTGATTGAAGATAGGTACAATTAATTTGAAGATATGTACAATTAGAACATATCCACAAAGGATTTGAAGATAGGTAAAATTCAATTATACCTAGGTTCAATTCGTTTTGTGTTATTGAAAATAATGAACGCTCCCTTGGAGACAATATTGAACATGGAGGGAAACGCACAGAGCATACGGGGCGACGACAGCGAGGATTAAAGGAGAAATAAAGGTATGTTTACGTGTGCAAAAGCATTATTTACTTATTAAAATAAACATGTATGTCCATAATTGAGCGAAAAAAATATATATACCCGAGTACCCCGAAAGTGTCGGAGTTCGGGTAGTGACGTAGTTAGGAGGTTTGGCGATATACCAAACTGAATGAAAAATTGGCCTTATTTTTCCATAATTTTATTACAGAGTGTATGATTGAGTTGATAACCACTCTGTTTATTAAATTAATAACATATTTACATATATTATGAGTGTTTTTTAGGCCCAGTACTTTTAAAAAAGTGACGAAATTATATGGCCAAATATTTTTATCATCCCGATTTAATAATACTAGGACCTATATTAGAATACTAGTATCTTTTACAAATGTATCTAGAGTTTATGGAAAGACTAGGGTAATAGCTGGCTACTTTTCATAAGAAAAATTGATTATCTTTTTATCCTGATTTTTTTTCTTTTTTAAAAAGTGTTTAATATTCACAATTCCCATTATGAGCAATTAATGAAAAGGTTATCTACATGTGTTTTGTTATCTATATCAGTTCCAACTGGACATGAAGATGATTTATTTGCATAGGCCTAAAAAAAACTTTTGCTCAATTGGGCTTTTTTCTGATCTAAGTTTCTCCCTTTGTTTTTTCACATTTTTGACTTAGATCTTCTCAAGATCCACTGGGCCAATGTCAACTAAACGGATTCAAACATATTCAAGTGGATCATCACATTTTCTTCTTTTCAATTTTTAAAAATCCTTCTTCACAAGAAACATTGTGCAAGAAAAGACTAAACTTATATAGAAGCATCCTCATGTAGTATACATTCATGTTTGTTCAAAAACCTGTATATAGGGTGGGGCCATGAATGATGACCGTATTGCATAGAAATGTACATGAATCTTTCTGAAATCTTCCTAAAAATAGCAAAGGCTTGATTAGTTATATAGATATGGAAACACCCTCAGGTAACATATAGATTCAAATTTGTTCAAATCATGACCCCCCCCCCCCCCCCCCCGGCAATCAAAGTTTACATAGAAATATATAGGTTAGAAAAATCTGCTGATGAAAAACAGTAAGGCTATAGTGACTCAGGTGAACATTGTGGGCCTCTTTTTTTGGCTTTTACAATAAAATGTAAAATGGTTTTGCTGTTTTTTTAATTAAAAAAAGTTAATGAATCATTTTACAATATATACAATTTTGTAATAAACCAGCATACAATTTATATTTAAAAACATCCCAAGACACAACTAGAAATAGGGTTTTCGATTTTTCGGACACACGGGGAATTTTGTATCTATGTAACACATATATTCTTGAAGAGAAATAGTTAATAGTGAATATTCAGTGAATATCACTTTTTTTAAAACACCACTGAACTTTCCGTATTTATGATTCATTCTGTTTTTAGATCGTTATCAAAAGATTTTAAAAAGGGAGAAAAGAGGGGAGGCGAACCCACTAGTCACACTTGATGAGTTCCGCATGGTGTTGTATCTACTTCAGTTTTGTAATGGTGGTTCCTGACCTGTGTTCTAAAGACACAAGGAGGACTTGGTAAGTTACGGTGGCTGTAGAAATAATACTCTTTTTTTATTCAGATGATGCATGGATACCTTTTTGCTGAAGGAATATATGTACAGAGGAAAAGAGTTCGTGAGACCCTTTCATCTTTAACAGATAGAATCGAAAAGAAGAAACCCATATCAAGAAGGGTATACAAAGTACCAACTCCCAATAGTTTATGGCACATGGATGGTCATATGAAATTGGCAAGGTAGATACATGTAATAGTGCGAACATGTTACTTCTGTGTCAAATCTCTTAAGATAGGTCATTTTCAGTCAATTTAAATCAGAATTGACCAAAAAATGACTGATTAATATTGCTGAAAAAGTTTGTCAGAAAAAAAAAAACATAGTACAAATAGTACAATTGTAACAGATTCTATGCTTTCATTCTCAGAGTATGTTTTGTACTTTAACCCCCCCCCCCCTTCACATCTGCAAAAAGATTGTTTGGGGTATATATTCTTCATGAATAGAAGCCAATGGTTGATTATTTCCTGATGCTAGCAACCATTAATTTCTGATGATGTATTTAAATAAATTTACATCAAGTATACATTTCTTTTTTTTAATTTCAGGTGGGGAATTACTACACATGGATGTGTAGATGGGTTTTCAAGGTGCATTGTTTATCTACATGCTTCCTTAAACAACAGAGCAGCTACAGTTTTTAAACGTTTTCTTATGGCAACTCTTTTATATGGAATGCCATCTACAGTGAGATCGGATCATGTAGGTGAAAACAAACTGGTTGCCTTGTTTGTAAATCTCGTAAAAGGTTGTGCACATCACATAACAGGGAGTTCCGTGCACAACGAGAGGATAGAAAGATTGTGGAGGGATGTGCACACACAAGTTACAAGCTTCTTCTGTAGCACATTCTATGCCCTTGAAGACAGTGGGAAATTGGACATAAACAATCAAAATGACATGTTAGCTCTGCACTTTGTCTATTTGCCTGAAATTAATCGTCGACTTTCCCTGTTTCATAGCTGCTGGAACCAACATTCCATAAGAACAGAGGGAAACAAGACCCCAGAGCAGTTTTTTATTACTGGAACGCTTACAAACAGCAGCAAAAACAGCTCTGCAATAAAAGGCATAACAATTCGAGAGGACATGGCACTGGATGAAAAATTCGAGGCAGTCAAGATGTTCATTTATACCTCAGCATGATTTCTTGAGCCAAGAAGATTCTACACTTGACAACTTCAAAATTTTCATGTAATACAACATGTTTGTATTAAGGTCAAAGGATTTCAAATAAATACCAGTATGCTGTTAATTTTTTTTTTCATGTGCTTTATTATTGTTATACAGTAAAACACACTTATAATGAAGTGCCAGGGACAGATAATTTTGCTTCGTTATAAACATAATTCATTATATCTATTACAAATTTATGTGCACAATATATTTTCAAGCACAGGGAATGAAAAATACTTCCCTGTAAGCATTAATTCATTATAAGCTTGTTTGCTTTAAGCATGTTTAACTGTACATATATTCATCACAAAATTCTCCCATCATCCCTAATCTATTCTAATGCAAAACTTTGATCACATATTGTGGCCCCATTTGAAAAAAAAAACAACTTCTATACACTTCTATAAAAAAAATTATAAGAATAACACGTGAACAGAAGGTAATTTGCGAATTGTATTATTGTATTCTAATGGTGTTTTAGAAAGTCTAAAAGCTCTGAAAATTTGAACAAAAATCTGTTCAGGAATGAGAAAGATATGAAGCTTCAAAGTTGGCGTCTAGGAAAAAAAAGAATAATAAGAATAATCTTAATCATCAGAATCAGTAGAAGGTCTTCCTTTGGAAACGGAAGACCTTTAAAAAAAGAATAATAATCTTAATCATCAGAATCAGTAGAAGGTCTTCCTTTGGAAACGGACGACCTTAATTACTTAAAATGTGCTATTACACTACATATGTCATCAACTTAAAAAAAAGACCCGCATTTTGTTCAGTATCCGTTGATACCAAATACGGGTATTCACGCTGTCATGTGACAATTTTGCACGCGCTGAGTTTCAGAGGGAATCTGGACGCCATATTACAGAGAACAATCATGCATGTGGTCAAGCGATTTTTACGTTTGTATTTGGTAATTTTGCCAACCATTCCCGGCTATCCCATAAGATGCGGACTTTGTAATAATAATCAAACTGTGTTGACTTTGTTGCTATGCCATGTATAAGGATTTTGAACTTTGGAGAAGAAAAGGTGCGGGACATTCTAGTTGCGAGACGCGATCAAGAAATTGACCCATCCAACATGAAGATCTTAACCACAATTGAAGGAAAACGATGTAACAGTAAGAACTTCACTGTTTAGTAGCTAAAGAATCTTTATTTTATGGTATATGTATATAGATAGAAAAAATGTATTTAAAATGCAGATATAGGCTTATATATATATATATATATATATATATATATATATATATATATATATATATATATATATATAATTATGAATGCTTAACATAGGTGCGGGATTTTTTTTGAGACTGATTTAAATCGAAATAAAACGGAAAAGACCGAGTCTACTTCTGGCAAGGGAACTCTTGTTCCTGTTATCCCATAATGCACTTTACCTGGATAACACGTCAAGGTCAATGCTAGCTTCAAGTTTGTTTACAGAGATACGCATAAAAGGGATCGTGTCAAAACCGGAATCTTTTCTCGTCAGTTAAACTCAAAAACATCCAGTAAACATTTGATTTTTTAAGATCCTGAGGTTAGCAAACTAACGTTCACAAAAACCTTGAAATTTTTCGAATTTCAATAATGGCTACACAGATTTATTTTAATATGTTTTAGGTGTGTCGACGAGTCTATCAACAGGGACCTCCAGGACCCCCACTGATAGCCGTTCATCCGAATTAGTCAAGTGTCACTACAACACGGACCTCCAGGACCCCCATAGATAGCCGTTCATCCGAATTACTCAGTGTCACTACAACAGGGACCTCCAGGACCCCCACAGAGAGCCGTTCATCCGAATTAGTCAGTGTCACTACAACAGGAACCTCCAGGACCCCCACAGATAGCTGTTCATCCGAATTAATCAGTGGCATTCCATCAACTAAGGACCCTGCCTCATCTATCAACTATTGTAGTTGATGGTAAGGGTTTGATACCTTGTTATAGGAAATATGTTTTAATTATTAATTGATACACTGTGAAGCAGAAAAAAAGAAGTTTGTATTTTTTAAATTAAGTATTTCCACACTAACATTTTAAATATGTATTATGCATTTTTATCATATATAATGTATCATTTATGTATCATTTATCATTTCATAATGTATATATAATTATTATTGTAGATTCTCGGAAGAAAAAAAGAAGAGGATCCTGACCATGATGAACTGTTTGTGGATGACGAGTCAAAAGGTCTAACACTCATTCCTTCTTTAAATCTTGGTTTTAGTGTTTGTATTCTTATTGGCTTGTTAATTTTTATCAAAGATAAGTTTAACAAGCTGAAATGTAGAACTAAGATATCCAAAAAGAAATTTAAAAGAAATCGTGCAATATTTAACCCAAGACATGGTAAATTACCTTCCAGGTCAGAAATAGATTTAAACCGAATCCAGTAATACATGCCTGCGTCCGATGATAATGATTATGACTCTGTAATGTTTGACAGAGAATCTGCGTGTTAATAATGCTACAAGTTTTGCAGAAGTATGTGAGGGTGTATGTTGTTAATTTTTTTTCTTCAAATTTTGATAGGAATGCTAGCATGGGCTGTTGTGACAACCATCATCATTATTTTAATTCTTCTAAAGCGGTGGTTATTGGCAAAGTTGAAGTGCCAGTGTTGCAGTTGCGTACCCCCAGCACCATCAACTTCTGATACCCCATCTGTACCCCCAGCACCACCTTCAACAAGCTTATTTCCTCTCTTTTACCTTTTTATTATTCTAAGAAGAAAACTTCTTGAAAAGGAGAAGGATCTCACCTTAGAGCAGCTAAGGACAATTGCACGAGCATTTGAATCAAGTGAGAAACAGGCAGAATTTATAGAGTCTGGGAGTAGTGCTAAAGCTAAAGTAGACTCTAGCGTGAATTATATGGTTAAATCTCGTAATGCAAAGCCGCAAAAGCAGAAGCGACATACGTTGGGGAGGAAGTGTTTCAGATGTGGTGGAAATGACTCCAAGTCCGGGTTTCTTAAAGAGAACCATCTTTTTAAAGTCAATGTCCTCGACGACTAATGTATTTCGTTATACATGAAGCCAAAATGCAGAATTTAGGCTCCGACATTTCGACAAACATAAACAAGAGCGCTAAAAAATTTTCTTTCTGCAGAAGTCTTTGTAAAGCTTTCCTTGTATATCTCAATTTCTGCCAATATTGGGAGATTTCTTTTCCCTTTGCCTTAGTGGTATGCAGGAGAAATGCTTGTTCCGAGGCGGAAAGAAGTTTAAAAGATATTAGAAAATTGACATATTCAGAGCCATACCAAAAAGAAAGAATCCCCCGCGTGGGGCCGTAGTTAGAGCGTCTGCTCTAGAGTAGCGAAGTAAGGAGTTGATCCTTACGTTGCGGGTTCGAATTCCACTGTGGGACGTGGAGACCAGTCCTTCGGATGAGACCGTTTAAACCGAGGTCCCGTGTCGCAGTAGGTGCTGGCACGAAAAAGATCCCTCACTGCTCAATGGCCGTAAGTGCCGAGTATAGGACAGAAATTTGCAGCTCTCCACCGGCAAGTGGTGGCGTCTCCACATGAGTGAAAAATTCTCGAGAGGGACGTTAAACAACATACAAACAAACAAAAAGAAAGAGGCAAAGAGACACGTGTAAAAACATGCGGTGTTAGACATTGTTAAAAACTATTATGCTAACTAGAAGTAAATGTTGTTTAAAATAATTACATATGAAATTGTTTTACCTTTCATAAGAATTTTTTAACATTTATTTTTTTAAAATACCTGAATGTACGTTATTTAGGATGTACATTATCGTGGACAGGTTTGTAATATTAATTTCACAGAAACCAGACTTGATGGAACCAGAGGTTGGATTTAATTGATTGAATGAATGATTGTTGTTTACGCCCCCTTCGAGAATTTTTTGACTCGTATAGAGATGTCATAATACCCCGGTGAAGGGCTTCTAACTTTGACCTTTACTCGGCACTCAGGGCCATTGAACAGTGTGGGTTCTTTATCGTGCCAACGGTTCCCGTGACACGGGGCCTCGATTTTTAAGGTCTCATCCGAAAGACCCATAACTTTTACCAAAACTTTAACTTTATTCCTCTTGGAAAATCATCTCTTTTCAAAATATTTAATGCATGTGCAGCCTCAAAACGAGGAGGTTTAAGAGGCTTTGATAACATTGCAACTGATGAAGCTTGTGCTTTTGATACTTTGATATCTCTAGTAGATAAACTCAGTGACCGAGGATTATTACCTGAATGGACACAAAGTTAAAAGACTGAATAGGTGATCTGCAAAAGATATCTGAAAACCGATTACATAATACAAATTACTGTACAAGATGCATGTGCTGACCATCGTTGCCTTTACAGTCTTCGTGATCGAACGTCACCATATTTTCAACAGAACTGCAGTCATGCTGAAGACCACATACACTGTGAAAGTTGCAGTGCAGCAAGAGAACTTCACATATCAAAGATTATGTCAATGAATTGAGTAGAATTTGAAAGGCTGTAACTTTAGATCATTTAGATATATCGACGACATATTGTCAATTAACAATTGTTATTTCCATTTGTATGTCGATATGCTATATCCCAGTGAGCTTGAAATAAAAAACACATCTGTTTATTTGGATATTTAACTAGAAACATACGTTAGTGGTAATCTAACAACCAAGCTTTATGCTAAACGTAATGACTAACTTTTCAATCGTCAACTTCCCTTGCTTATGCAGCAATATACCTTCACAAACCTGTTTACCCAACTTGTTTTCTCTCAGTTTTTTTTCAAAAACTTCCAAAACATGGTTTAATAACAAAGCAAAACATCAAACCCTGCTTTCTTTTCAGTGATTTCTGTCATTTCAAATGACTGCGCCTTTTGAGAAAAAAAATGTAATATAAATTTTAGAAAGAAATAAAAAATATGTAAGAGCTGTTGGTAGACAGACATCTCGGCCCAACGACACCTAGGCCCTTTACTTTTGACA